GAATGATAGAAATTTTACCTTGAAAACTTGATCTTTTGTAAGTAAAATACATTTCGCACATATTCGTCCAATTTGATCAGTATAGATTTCACATACTGAACTACAAATACATAAACATTCCTGATCTATTTTCCATTTAGACCTTGCTAATAGTTCATTATTAAGTCTTTTGGATTGATTAGAAGTAAGTTTAGAATAAGAAAATTTTGTCTCATTTGTAAACTTCTGCGGAAAAAGTTCTTGGGCCACTTGTTTGGCAGGTGGAGCACCACCAAATGTTATAAAACCGCCAACTCGTTCAATATATTTGAGATGTTTTTCTTTACATAAGCCGGAACATGGGTATCTTTTATATAATGGCTTGTCTTGAGAATTAGAAGCTGGAAAAAACACTCTCAAATCTTGAAATCCCTTGTTTTTAATACATTTGCTATTAGATACATGGGATTCAATTCATGATTTATCAAAGTTTCTTTTTAGTTTAATCGATTTTCTGCAATGTTTGCATTGTACGCATAATGGACCCAAAATTTCGAGTACATCCGGATGATTAGCCAACTCTGTTTGCTAAAAATACAAAACTAATTAGATAGAGATATTAATGCAAATAATATATATGTTGCTATTCTTACCTTTTCTAAAATAGTCTTTGAATTCATCCCACGGTTCCGTTTTTTCTTTAATGCATGTTCTTCAGAAACAACTAATCTATTACTTGAACGCTCATCATCCGTCGTTTCATAGTCGTCGGATGTTTCATAACAATCTTCGATATCTGATTGTTCATGATCAGACTGTGAGAGCTCAGTTGAAACAATCAATGAATTTATATCCATCAAGAAAATTTAACCGCAACAAAATGTTTATTTAACCACAGGAGAGTAAAAAAAATTTTTTTTTCTTTTTTTTTTTTTTCTTTTTTTTTTTTTTCTTTCTTCCTTTTTTTTTTCTTTTCTTTTTTACTATAACGAAGCTTCTGACCATGGCGAAACTCCTGAATTCAAGAAAATAACTTTTGGCTCCGGCAAAGTTTTTGACTATAGGATGCTTCTGGCCAAGACGAAGCTTTTAATCATGCGAAAATTCTTAACCACTACTAAACCTTTAACCACACGTAATGTTAACTACGGCGAAGTTTTTTCTATAGTGCACAGAGAAACCTTTTAACCACAGTGTACAGAGAAACCTTTAACCACTTAGAAGTTTGTTCACAGCAAGCTCTTTCTTGGCTATAGCGAAGCTTCTGACCACGGCGAGACTTTCGGCTACCTGAAATATCTGAACACGGCGAAGCTTCTGACAACACGGCAAAGCGAACTACTAGGAAAATCTTGAAAACTTACAAACAAAATTTGAATATTTATTACAAATGATCTAGCCAATCAAATTCAAACTGGAATAACGGCCTGCATTAAGATTAATGCGGGCCAAAATTTGAAATGATACCCCGATTATTATCTTGTGAAGATTTAGTATATGGATTTTTTTAAAATATTAGATATTTATTTTTAATAAAATTATGTCCACCTTGGGTATATAACCTTT